CCCATGTTTATTAAGTTGTTTTATAGTAGCCCACTGCTGTTTGGGCCCATCTCCATTCCGAAACTTGGCCTTAGCAAACCCCACCTGTCCCTTCTGTTGACCCCCTATGGAATGGGTAGGACCCACTTGACTCCTTCCAGCCCTAACCGTAGCCTCATCCCCAAATCTCAGTAAATATTCCTTCACCCCAGTTCTTCAGAAATCTCTGCGATTCGATTGAACCGAATCTAGCCCATCCTTATCCGCCCCATTCCTGGCACCACCCACTGTCGCCGGCACTGCCAAATCCACCGAAGGCCCCTCCTCTGCCCACACTGGTAAGGAAAACCTTCAGGAACCCCAACGAACAACCACACACGACAGAGTGCATTCAGAGCTGCGGATACGCAATCGAACGACACCCAGGTCCACAGATGTGTCATCCGCTTCGACAAAACCACCACACTGATCACCAATAACACGATATACGTCGTCCCCACGAAGATGAAGGGCAAACCCATCACTCGAATCCAGACACTATTCGCCGGTGACAATATGTCCTTTTAACAACATAGAGCAAGAGGTGACCGCCACTCCAACAACAAATCCCGTCCATCAGCAATCCACTTCTGGCACAACAACTCTGCCTCTTTTCGCGATGTGAATACAAATAAGAATGCTTGATCTGCTAATGGACGCACCTCCACCTTCCCAGATGCCTTCCACCAGCGTGAACCCATTCAAACATTGCTGAGAAACTCATCCCTTTTTCACCCAACTGCCCCACTTTACCCACCAACGATCTGTCCAACATTCCGAACCAATCTAACTCCGTGGTACACTGTAATGTCGTAGCCCCTCCAACCCCTCCCCGTGTTGCCAGTTGCTAAGATTCAGATTTTGATGTAACCTTGCCATACCTTGGACTAGCAATCTCTAACCGAAAGCCTTCAAGGACGAGAGCCACGACATCCCAACCATCCCCATAATCCGACATAGGAATAAAAATTTGTTCCCTTCGCTTCCCTGTCGTAACCACTAGTTGAATCGACAAACCACCGCTTTCTTTTGCACGAACCCAGATAGCCAGAGTCCAACTGCCGCCACTAAGCCGACCCAGAAACCGTAGATTGCTGGGGTCTTGCGAAGCCATCCTCAATCTCGTCACCAACCAGTGCACATCATGTCCATATACCACTACAGCCCGACGAAGACCAAGACCCTGCTCTACAATCGACACACCACGACGGCCAGGCGACTCCACCGACACCTCAAACTCAAAAGATCGATCGCCGAGAAACAGAATCCGCCGGCGTGGACCACTATTACCCACCACCGGAAACATACTCAATAAGTTAAAAAAAGTCTGATCTTTATCCAGAAATTATATACCAGCTGGTCTTATTTATCACCGCATTTTTTCACCCCTTTATTTCAGCCCCTATGTGTAGAATACATAATATAATAAGGTTTCTAAAACAAGAACTCTCTTCAAAGTTATTCGTGTTGATCTCCTCTTCTTTCTCAGTCGATCTATCTTCTTCTTCTTCTTCTCTCTCTCTCTCTCCCTCTCTCTCCTTTTTAACATATAAACTAACTATTTTAGTTGACTTTTTGACTTTTTACGAAAGGACGTGCAGAAAAGTAGAGAATAGTTGACTTTTTGGTAGTAAATTATTACTTTTTAGCCAAAATCGTGACTTCCCAAACTTGCACCAAGTCTTGTCTCCAAGTGCCACACCAAGTGTCTCAAACACACAGCAGCTCAAGCCTAAGCAGCTTGAACAAGAGTCTTCAGTTTCTTGTTAGGTTTACCGGGGCGAATAGTTTTCCCCATGAAAACCTCTTTCTAGTGTCATCACGATGATGTGATAACAGTGGTTCCTCCAGTTCCTCCAATGTGATAACAGTAATGGAGGTTAGTTGTTAGAGTTAGTTATGCATTGAGAAGAGTTTTCAGTTTCTTATTAGAGTGATTAGTTTTCCCCATCACCCTCTTTCCAGTGTCATCACGATGATGTGATAACAGTGGTTCCTCTAGTTCCTCCAATGTGATAACAGTAATGGAGGTTAGTTGTTAGAGGTAGTTACAAGTTAGTTACAGCAACTATAAAAATATCTGCAACTTCATTGGTAATGCATTGAGATGAATTTTCAGTTTCTTAGTTAGGTTTACCTGGGTGATTAGTTTTCCCTATGACCCTCTTTCCAGTGTCATCGCAATGATGTGATAACAGTGGTTCCTTCAATGGGGAACCAGAGGGATTGGATGTGGAACCTTTCGATCCTTCAAGGCATGTGACACCATCTCTATGAGCATATCAAGCTTCTTTCCAATGTCGGTAACATCAGTTTGAAGCTTTGCAATATTTTCTCCATGTTTCTTTAACACAGTGCCCTGTTGATTAAGTTGTTCATCATGCTTCGCATTGGTTCTTGCCGAGGATCATGTTCTGATACCAAATGATAGAGCCAATGCTCTATCTATGGTATTTTTTAGTGATTGGACGAACAAAATGGGGAAAATAAGAAGATCACTTTGAGGGGGGATCAAGCCTCCAAACCTTTAAGGCGAATTGATTGCATAAAATAGCCATACGGCATCTACACCCTTATAGAACTAGGACACCAGCCAGCAATGGAAATAACAAGAACCGAAATAACAAGATTATCAGAAAAGAAAATAAATCATGCCAAGACAGACAGCGCAGTTGGCTTATAAAATTCAGCATAATCCTACCAATATGGAAAGTAATCGTATCAGTTCTTTGAGAGAATAGAAGAGTTCACGTAACACATCCCGCCTTAGGGGTGTAGTGTTTTTACAGACAATGGTTCTAACTTATTTGAACTATGATGGTCCGCATTAATTGGCTGATTGAGACATCAGTTGCCTTGACATAAATGCATGCTGAATTTTCCACCAAGAGTTTTCTGCAATCATCAATCAAGGCTTTTTCTAGATGGTAATTGATATCAGCTTTCTTTATGAGCCACACAATCACTAGGGTATTAGCTTCTATAGGATCCTTGGAAGATTCATTTCCCTTACTCTTTAAGACCTTGTGTCATGGCCGAAAGTTCAGCCTCCATGGCTAAGCACATACCGAAAGACATTGTTATCTGGCCTGCTCAACCAACTGAACAGTAGTCCCTGACGTGCTTATTTTGCTTTATTCAGATGGCCTTAGGTCTTACCATTATCCTAATTTAAAGACCTTGCCCTTGTCATTTTGATACTAGCTCCTGATGTGGCATGTCACTCTAACCTGTTTGTTTCCTGTTGCCCATAATTCATAATGAACTCGCCATGTTCTTGTGATGGAAGGTTTCAAATGGGGTTTTGTTGTACTTTGTTGTAGGATCTAACGAATGTACTAGGCCCTTGGGTAGAAGTCCACAAAGAAACTGCTTTGGGCCCCCAAAAAATAGCCCAAAATGAGGGCCCCAAAATATATGTAGCACTTATATATGGTTCAATATTAAAACAAAAATGCTAGAGACCCCAAATGAATTATCAAATATTTTACATAGTACTCACATAGAGAAATCACTTTGGAGCCCTAACCTTTTTATATCTCAATTTGTTTGATTCTTTTAAAATCCCATGACTCAACTTTTCTGATTCTTATCATTGATACAAAATCCATCCAAGCAAAAGGTCAAGAATTTTTAAATATAAATATTTAGTCTTTAAATTAAAAATTTTAATTTGGGATTTGTGATTTTCAGATCGTATTTACTGATCCATTAGCTTTTGCTTGTAGTTTGAGATTTCATCTTATGATTTTCAGTAGTCTACTTACAATCAAGAGTTATAGATTGCTGATTCGTATTTGTCAAAAGAAAAAAAAAATTAGATAGCTGATATACAAGTTCTGTTTGCTAAAATTGCTTCAGATTTTCAGATTTCATATGTTTTTTATACAAAGTTCTAATTTGTGACTATTTCAAATTTGAATTGATTGTTCATTGTTGCAGATTACCTATTGGATTGGGGTTTGAAATCCTAAAAAATTGGTTTTGGCAATATGTTTTCTAGAAAGTATAAGAAGAAGAAGAAGTGCAAAAAGTAATTCAATCTCAAGCGGGAACGCATGATTAGTATTTTAGTAGCAAAGCAACGAACAAAATTAGTGAATGAGATATAAAGGGCCCCAACTTTAAAATTCGCTTGGGGCCCCAAAAAGTTTAGGGCCGGCGCTTGGGTGACATGTATTATTGTTTCAAACAAAAATTGCTAAAGATGTGACCTCCTTCATTAACTTGAGTCAATTAATCTAAAACCATGGTAAAATAATCATATCACCATTAAACTCTGTTGAGGAGGTATATTCTTTAAACTTCGGCCAATTTTTTTGGTATAACTATCCCTTGTAACTCAATTTATTAATGAAATACCCTGTTTAGTGTGTGCATTATTGGCAATTGTAAGAAGCCTTTGCAATGTGGAGCAGGGATACCATGCAGGAATGAGTAAAGAGATAGCTTATAATCATTTAAATTTAGGGGTTACTTTTTTGACCTTATCTCTATTGCCTGTTATTGTTTAGTATTTTGGTTTGCATTTTTTACCTCACTCGGGGAAGTACTCCCGTGAATTGAATATGAATTGTTGCATTTTATAATTATTTTCTTGTCCTACACTTATGAGACTTTGGCTGTGAAAGATGATATGATAGTGAAATAGATAAAGATAAATCCTAAATTATAAACATGAAACTTGCATTTTTCTCCTTACCCTGACCTATTGAATTGTAAATTATTTTGTGATTGAGATATTTTATCCTATTATTTTATTTTTTGGGCTTTTGAGGTGCAATTTTTAAGAACACGGAAAAGTATTCACTCCGTGCTGGACACAAATTTCACCCTCCTGTATTAGCTCTAAGTTAGTGCTTTTAATCAATATAATCTGCTAGCCTCTAGATGCTGTGCACCTGTTGTCAAGGCATGTTATTTTTAGTACTTGTCTTTAATTACTTTTACTCTGCAAATATGATATCAACTTGTCTTTGCAGGTGCAAGGCATGCACTCTGATGTTGTTACATTGAGAAAAGCTAGCATTTGGCGTGAGGCTTCACGCATTGTTAGTGAAGAAGGATTTAGGGCTTTCTGGAAAGGAAATCTAGTTACGATTGCTCATCGTCTGCCTTACTCTTCTATCAGCTTTTATGCATTTGAACGCTACAAGAATGTTGGTACACACGTTCCATAAAATTTTCTTCATGCAGTTCGAACTGCACTGTTAGAATATCGTTGTATCTGGTTTTTTTTATTTGACTCTCTGTTTTTTTCGTCTGACAGCTATTGCAGTGTATTTTGGGGATGGAAAGTTGCAGGGAAAATGTAAGTGCAGACCTTTGCATAAGACTTGTAGGTGGTGGTTTGGCTGGAATAACTGCTGCGTCTATTACATACCCATTGGATCTTGTAAGGACACGTCTTGCAGCCCAGGTAAGAATAAATAGACACGCCCTTGGTGTACTATGACCCATGAATAACTATTTGTTTTGTTAGTTTGGTTCAGTTATCATGTCCTCACTTGTCAGCTTGTCAAAGCATTAATTGGCATGGGAGTACTGCTTCTGTTATGCATTTGAGCATACATTTCTGTAGTTTCCCCACTCAGATGGAAGAGGTTCCAGAAAAGTAATATAGTTTTTTTTTTTTTTCTGGAGGGGGACCATCCACCTCACAATTTTAGCACATTTCTTCTCTGACAGTAACACCTCTGTGAAGACTACTAATACTTAGTACCATGTAAAACTCTCCATGATTTTACTCTCCCTTTGGTGTGACCTCTTCACCTGTTGTGGCTCTGAGCAATTGGTTTGAATGTTAAGACCGTGACATTTTTTATTCTTGTTACTTTTGCAATTTCCAGTTTCGTATTGCACATTTCATAATGTTGTCCATTGGTTTAATTAATTGTAGCAGAAATGGTTCAAGTACTGGGGCCGCTCTCAAGGTAACTAGTGTATACATCGTAAGTTTTGCAAGATCCTAGGCTCACACTTTGATCTCATTCTCCACCTTTACTAAATTACTACTAGCATACAGGAATGTGCAACCACTCACTAGCCTCACATATCGGGCAAAATAGGACATCAGGAATTGAACCTAAGAACCTGAGCAAATTACCATTCGAGCTGACCCTCATGGGTAATTTATTTTGATGTTTACCACGGAGATTAAGGAAAATTATAATATATCTAGAACTAGCTTTGGGCTAAGATATATCTTGTCATTGGAAATTTACTACTGTATGGGAGACATTAATAACAGAAAATGACAGCTTATAACAAATGAAAAGCTTGCCATACTTGATGCCCTTTCCTTCCTTATTGGCTTTTTTGTTTGTTAGATTGGAAAGGAAAAAACAATCCATTGTTACTATTTGTGTCAAGGATTATGCAGTGTTACATGGACTCTTTCAATCACCCTAGTGAACCTGTGTCCACTGGATATGACAAAGGTAGGGGTATGGAACCTCGACCTAAATTAGAGACCTAGGTCGTCTATTTTATACATTGTTTGAAGAAATAGAAGCTAACATTTCATAGTAAATAAAGTTGGTGTTTAGTAGCTTTTTCAGCTTTAAACTTACCTTATGTTAAAAATGGGTGTTTGGTTCAGCTTAACTGGAACTACTCGAGGCTTATCTCTGCTACTTGGTCCAAAATAAGCTGCTTATTCGAAGCCAAGTCAAAGTTTCTTCTAATTAGTGTTCAAAAATAATATTATGCTAATTATATTTTAAAGAATCAAAAGAGTACAGATTGGTGACTTATTAGAAGAAACTTCACCTTGGCTTCGAAAGCATTCTTGATTGGTGACTTATTTTTGGTATGAGTTCCAGATACTTTTCAATGCAAAATAGACCTAATGATCTATTTAGCTTATCTTTGGCTTAAAGTCCACTACTCTTTATTTGTTTTATAGTTGTGGATCTAAAGGACAATAGTCTGATTTCTGGTTTCAAATTTCCAAGTGTAGTTGGGGATTGTTACTCAATGTCTATTTTGCTTGTGCCTGTTTTCTTGATCATTTAGTTTTTAATTGTGCAGACAAATGTCATCTACTATAGAGGTATATGGCATGCTCTACATACCATTAGCAAGGAAGAAGCTGTCTTTGGCCTTTATAAAGGACTTGGGGCAACATTGTTGGTATAATTTTGTGGTTTTTGTAATCTAAGGGTTGTTTTGGGAATTGGCTTTTTTAGTGGCTTTTTGACTTTTTACGAAAAAACAAAAAATTAGAGAGAAGAGTTGGCATTTTTGTAGTGACCTTTTGTCTTTTTGAGTAAAATTTCAACTTCCCATTTAATTATGTTTGGTGATCCCTCTTTGTGTGGCTAACTGCTGCTTTTACACTAATACAGGGTGTTGGGCCTAGTTTTGCAATCAGCTTTACGGTTTATGACACCTTGAGATCTTACTGGAACTCGCAAAGGTGATTATAAATGGATTAATCTAATCGTAGATTTCATATTACCCTTCTACATATATGTGTCGTGTGCTTATTTTTTGCTGTTTCTATATTTCCATTTTCTTTTTTTTGGTGCTGAATTATTCATGCATCTTTTTTACAACTCCTTTTGTTGACCTTAGGCCCGATGACTCCACTGCCCTGGTCAGCCTTGCTTGTGGCAGTCTTTCAGGCATAGCATCATCTACAGGTGAGTGATCTGAAACCTTCAACAAGGAAATTCCCTTCAAACTTCAAGAAGGGCAATATTTGGCTTTGATTTACAAAATAATTTCCATTTTTTAACCAAGAAAGGAAAAAGTCAAATGGGGTAGTGGTTTTTTGTGATGCTTATTACGGCAGAATTTCATGACTAGATACCCTCTTATTGTAACATGGTGCATTGTAAATGCTGCAAAACAGAGACAAGATTGTAGAGATTCCATAAAGTAGTTTGCCTTGGGTTTATGCTACTATCTCATTTATCTTAGTGCTTGTTCAGCCTTCCTCACTTTCTGTAGCGAACAATGATCAAGTAGAGTTTCTGCTTGAATTATATTATTAAATGACACTAATAGCTAATGACAGAAGTTAATGCCTGTAGCTGTCTTCAATGCTTTTGATGCAGAGAAGCAGGTTGAGATGCAGGCTTTCCACTAAGCTTCTAACAGATTGAAACCTAGTGCCAGAGATCCTGACAAGAAGTCAATTTTTGTCAGACAATTTTTAGTAAGAATGTCAACAAATAATATATATAGTTTGTTTGTTTGTGTTTTTTTTTTTTTGGTGGTGGTGGTTTGCTAACCTATTTTATGTTCTATGTAAAAATCTGACTTGGATGAACTTGACCTCTCCTACATGAATTGGTAACTTGGCTTACCGAACAATCTGATTGATTTCACTATAGGGTGGCATTTCTCAAGTAATCCAATATGGTTCTCAATTAGCAGCTGTGAGAGCGTACTCTTTTGAGGTACGCTTGTCCCTTAGGCTTCCTTTGCCACTTGCTCACTAGTAATACTGGGATCTTAAGTTTCACTGGTGCATTTGAGTAAACTGAAAGCTTTGATTCATGTCACCTGTGGATTACTCACTCTAACCCCTAAACCCTCTGTTGTTTTTGCTTCAAAATATTTCAGGGAAATTTTCATCGAGGAGAAGAAAGTATGTGTAAGAGAGATTTTGTGAAGCTTTTTGAAGAGGCTTGATCTATTTTTTCACATTTCAAGCAGATTCATGGGCTACATATAAATGGAGCCTTTTATCCAGAAAATATATTTAGAAAATATTGTTCATCAAAACAAAGAGGTCATGGCACTAGCCTCTTTAGTTTGCTTCATTCAAAATATTTCTTTACATTCTGAATTATTTTCTTGTCGAAAATTTTCTTTCAAAAGATTTCGTAGCAGAGCCCTAGGCCCTATTCTTTTTAATCTTTACTTCACCATGAACCCCAAAAAAATTTAATCATGTTTTTCTATTAGTTTTGAACTTTCAAGACAACTTTAAGTAGATTAATTATTTCTTTAGTGGGAAAAATAGAATAACCGTGAAACAACATCCATGTAGCAACCCCGAGTAGTTGAAAAATCTCTCTAAAGCATCTTGTCAACTGGGACTAGCTCAGTTGGCCAGAACCCTTACACCTCATTAGGAGGTCAAGGGTTCAAGTCTTGCTTAGGCAAGACTCCCCCCTCCTCCAGGCTATGGCTTTTTATGTGCCAAGACAAAACAAACAAAAAAAGCATTATACTTCATTTGGTAAGAAGAATGGAGAAGTGAGAGGAAGGAAAGTTAGTAGCATGAATAGAAAAGGTTACCTATGGCAAAAGGAAACCATATCTTCCTGCATTTGCTTGATTGAGCATGTCAGAAAGGAGGTAGGAAAAGGGTGATATTGTTAAGTCACCAATTTCCCCAAAAGCCTAAGTTTACTAGGAAATAGGCCCAACAATGTATATCAAGCTATCTAATACCCTCCCTCACGTGCAACCCCGTCTTGCATGTGCAGAGACAAACAGAGAATCAAACAAAAAGAGAGGCAAACAACCAAACAAAGAGGAAGAAACCAAACACGGACAGAATACAGAATGCCAATGGAGAGATTTGAACCCAAGATCTCGTTTTAACCATAGCTCTGATACCATGTTAAGTTATCAATTTTTTCAAAAGCCTAAGCTATTAGGAAATGTGCCCAACAATGTATATCAAGCTAGCTAACAGATATTTCATCCACCATGTACTCTCTTTACCTCTCTGTATATACTTTTGGATAGAAAGGAAATGGTCTACTCAAATGGAAACTCTTCCCTTCCCCTTTCCTTGGAATATTTTCAGTCTCCTCTTTTTTCTTACTGACTTTTTTCTTGACATTGGAGTATTAGGGACAAGTTGGGGGCTAGTTGACTTCACCGAGACAAAACTAAGATGGTTTAAGTATATAAACATAGATATTGATCTTCCACACTCCTCTCTTGGAAAATAAGATGTAAGTAGAGATGGCAACGGGCCAAGGCGGGGTTGGGGATCACACTCCCGTCCCCGATCCCCGATGGTGGAAATTTCCTCAGCCCCAATCCCCGACGGGGAACCTATCACCGTCTCCGCCCCCTAACGGGATCAAGTTTCCCCGTCCTTGAACATTCCCCGCCCAAAAAAATTAAAAAATAAAAAAGAAACGAAACAGCAGCAATAGCAACAGCAACATATCAAGATCATCGGAGCCAATGATTTCACCTCCAAAATCAACAGCCCCCTCTGTGTGTGTGTGTGTGTGTGTGGGCGCGTACAGGGGGAAGTTTGGATCATCTCCATCTTCTTTCTTGACCAAAAACAAAAAAAAACAACAGCAGCAATAGTGAGTTTAAAAAAAAAAAAAACAAGCAGCAACAGCCACGTGAGGGAGGAGAACGACGCCGGTGAGAGAGAGAGGAGATATCGCACCGTGACCGTGAGCGAGAGTGGATGATGCCGGTGAGGGAGGAGAACAGCGCCAGTGAGAGAGGAGGAGCCGCTGCCGTGACGACGTGACGGAGAAGTGACGCCGGTGAGAAAGAGAGGAGGAGCCGCAGATGTGAGCACCTGCAGCAGAGAGAGAGAGAGGGGGGGAGAAAGGCACAAAAACGACTGAGAGAAGAGAAGTGAGTGAATAGAAAATTCCTAAACATATATATATATACATATGAGGATGATTCGGGGTGGGAGAACCTATCACCGTCCCCGGCCCGAAAACCGTCGGGGATCAATTTTTCAATACCAACACCGGCCCTATGGAGGGTAATTTTCGGGAAAACCCCGGCTTATCGGGGTGGGGTGGGGTGGGTTCCCGTTGGACCGAGTTTAAATTGCCATTCCTAGACGTAGGTCTCAGAAAAAGAATGCGTTAAGCACTGAAACCACGGAATAATAGACATGGGCAGGATGTTTGTAGAGCTTGAACTACTTTTTTTTGTGGTGATGTTTATTGTGTCAAAAATCATTCACGCTTTGATCACAGTTTCACTTCCATCTCTAAGGCAGGAACTTCTTATGCTTCATTCAGGAAGACGCATGGTTTTTGGTAGATCAAAACATTATGGTTACATAAAGTTTAATTGTGAATTGGACTATTACTCAAATATTAATTCAGTATGCTTCAGATTTGTTGTCAATTCCACATTCCTAGGTGATGCTAACTTGGCTGACAGAGTATATCCCATGATTCTATTTTGATGCATTAGTTTGGAGAATGCTAGTCATTCTTTCGTATATAGGCATCCAAACCTTACCCTTACCAGTAATATATTTCATATTGGATTGTTCAGGCTGTATTGGCCAAGCCTTCACTTACTTTGAGATGTGATTGTGTCTTGTAGAAAATTCTCTACAGATACTTTACTCACCTTTATTATTGCAAGTATAGTTCTCGTGATTTTTTAATTGGTGTCTGCATAGTTAATTTCTTTTTGTTTCTGGATCAAGAAACTTGCTGAGACAGTCATTGTGGATTGGTTTGGCTGCTTCCACAATGATCATGTGCTTCCTTTTTTTAACTTTCTTCTACTACACCTTGCAGCAACGTTTCCTCTGGACCTTTTGAGGCGACGAATGCAGTTGGAAGGAGCAGGTGGCCGAGCCCGTGTGTATAACACAGGCCTTTTCGGTACGTTTGGGTATATAATCAGAACTGAAGGCTTTCGTGGTTTGTACAGAGGGATTTTGCCGGAATACTACAAGGTGGTGCCAACTGTTGGTATAGTTTTCATGACTTACGAGAAACTGAAGCAGATTTTATCGGATATTCCTGCCAATAACTAGTTGCCCCCACATCTCTGTGAGATCATTTTGGTGATTCAATTGATTGGGATTTTGGTGAAAGTAGTTCAAAGATATCAACATATGATATTCAGTCTCAATTATCCCATGGTGGTTAGTTTTGTGACCACTAGTTGTGGAAGCCGTATATTTTCCATGTATAGATTGCAAGACGAACACCACGTGACCTCACATCTCAAGTGTATCAAACATTGTTCAGCATATATACACCCTGACTAACATTAAGAGCATTGATTTTACTTCATGAACTTTTTTGTCTGATTTTCATAGTAGAGTTTCTTGTTGTTCTTTCAGACTCTTTTGTGGGTCCAGTGTTACAAAATACTAATCTTTAATAGCTAGCTATTACTAGGTCTGTAAACAAGCTTAGCATAGTCAAGTAGTAAATTATTTAAATTTATCTTGAAATCTTAATGAATTTCAAAATATATTTAAATTTGGCTTATTTACGTTTGAGTGATTTTAAACGAGCTTTAATCGAGCCAATAATGAGTCCTCGAATAGTTTGATGTTGTTCAAAATGTGTTTATTATCTTGAACAAACTTTCAACATGCTACAATCACGTTAACTTTAGTGGCTTAGTTAATTTTAGGGGAATTAACAAGGTAGTGGTATTTACAAAAAGTAATTACAAATCAATAATAAATTTTATAAATTTTTTCATGAATGTGTAATTATTTTTTAAAGGTGCATTGAATTGTAATTTTTTCTTAATTTTATTGCCCTAGTAGTAATTATTAAAGTACATTACAAATACACCCTTTGCAATTTGATTAAAATATTAATTGTCTATTATGTTTAAAAATTATTTCCTGTTTACTTAAAATGTTAATGGAAAAATCAGTCTAAAATCCTTCTCCCATTTTTAGTAATGGAAAAAATCCAGAATATTATTTTATATTGTCTAAGGTCCCTCAACCTCACACCCTTGTATCACAGAGAAAATTGATTTTCTCAAAATCAAATTGGCCTCTCCCTCTCTCTCCTCTCTCTCTGCTCTTCCTCTTTATTAACGAAGAAAGCATTGAACTTGTCAATCTCATCCTCCAACAACATCACAAAATCGATCAATTCCTTCATGATAACCTTCTCCACTTCGCTGTCAACTCGAAGGAGTCAAATCTCAAATCCAACACTCAAATCTCCATTGGCAACCAAAGAAAAGAAAGGGAAGAATGGAGTAACAGTGGGGTGGACCGAAAATGAAGTAGATGAAGTCACCCCTAAACAAGAAAACGAAGAAAAAGAAGAGTTCGAGTTTCGAGAGGTCGGTTTCAGAGGAGAATTCAAATGAAAAATGTGAAATTGGATTTGAATGCAGTGAAACGATTTGAAAAATGCAAAATTGGCGTCTTGTAATATGGTTAGGATATGGAAGTTTGGTGAAGTAAGAAGGAGAAAAAGTTTTCATGCTAATGTTGCAGTATAATTGGGTTTGGGTTTTGATGGGAGTGGTGGTAGGTGTATAAACCCAGTTTGATTAAGGAGGACTTGGTTGAAGGATTGGGCCTATTGATCGAAAATTTGGTGGAATTGGTTGGAATTTTGGATGGGTTAATTGTTAGAAAAGATGACTCTGGACTTACCCCATTCCTAATATTTGTCAAAAATCTTCAACCCACTTTATTGTAAAGCTTTTTTTCCAAGAACCTCTTTCATCACTACCTTAAGAACAAGAAGAGAGCTTAACCCCCAAAAAAAAAACCCAGAAGAGAGAGAGAGAGAGAGAGAGAGAGAGAGAGAGAGAGAGGTAAAAAGGTTATAACTGCCAAGGCCACTGTTGGTAAGGGGCTTGTGAGACCAAAATTGTGACAACCCTCACCACTGTTTACTGCTAAACTGAAACTAAGCATGTTAATTGACTGATTGACTGAAAGTCTAAACTGATTGATTGAGTATATGAGTTTAATTGCATTTCTCTTTGTTTGACTGATAAATTATCTGTTCATGTTCTGTGTTTAAACTGCGAATTGAAGGCCTTATCGGCGACCGAATCAGAAATTGATTAATGTTTTATGATCATTAAAAATTATGTGATTTAATGGTATATTTATTTAAAATGCGATTTGGTATGATTAAATTAGATTAAAATAAGCTAGATTACAAGAGTTGGCCCTATTTACCAATTTACCACCTAGTGGATTAATTTAGGCAACTCCTCTCCACTTCATACACTCTTGACTAAACATTTCATCAGCCCATTTTGAGAGTCACAACCGACTAGAGAGAGAGAGGGTAGGAGAAAATCTTGAGTTCTTGAGAATTGGCTTGGAGGTTGAGAGAAATTGAAGGGATTCTTGCATATTTGTGTTTCTACACTTGAATTAAAGACATAAGGTAGAGAAATCACTCTTTTAATTGTGTATCTAAGTTGTATCTAGCATGGATCATGGTAGTTTAGAGAGCTAAGTCTAGAATTGGCTCTAGTATGTTGTATTGTAGCTCAAATCATGTATACATGTTTACATTGTTGAGTTTGGAGGTTGAATTTCATGGGAATCTTGCATGCATGTTCATGTTTATGTTAAAATCCATGAATTCATCTTGTCTTTGAAGAAATTGACTCACTTGAGCATGTATTTGAAGCTTAAAGTCGATTTAACTCATGCATGTTGCATTGAGGTCATGTTCATGAAATTTGATTTGAAATTGGGTTTAATTGAACTACCTTTGGGCTTCGATTTTTCAAATGGATCTTTGAAACATGTAATGTTATGAGTTTTGAAGTGTTTTCCAGAAAATTAGCCCAAAAGGATCGAATTTGATACATCTGAAGTTGATTTTGAGCTTAAGGTTCAAATCTGGGAATTCCAGATTTTGGACTCACGTTCGAGCGGGGTGACTGGCGCTCAAGCGTGAAATTCGTGCATCCAGCACTTTAGTTGTGTTTGCAGTCCGCTCGAGAAAGGTATTGGACGCTCGAGCGGGATCTTGTGTCTCACGCTCGAGCGGGTGTAGAGCGCCTATCGAGCGTGATTTTCACATATCCAGCACTTTTGACTGTTTTACAGTACGCTCGAGCGGGGAAGTATATGCTCGAGCGGAACCCTTTTGTTGCATGTTCGCTCGAGCGGGACCTCTGTTTTCTGAAAATTCTGAAAATGTTTTTAAAGCGCATCTTTGCATCCTCATTTCATTCTAGGCATTCCTAGGCCTAGTTTAAGGCATCTTAATGAGGATATTGATGTAGAACCACACCGAGGCAAATTAGGGATTAAGTTATTATTTTTTCCCAACTATGCAGCTTACTGTGTGTTCAATCTGTAACTGTGTAGGGTTGGCATTCCGGAGACGCTCTAGCTTATCTGTAGCCCAGAACTCTGTGAGTAACAATGTTGTAAAGATATATTCAATAATGATTATCTTCTGAACAACTGAGCTGTACTGTTTTCTGAAATGATACTGTTACTGAATGAATGATGTCCTATTTGTGAACTATATTCGTAGCAACCATAGCAACCTACTGTTACTGTACTGTAATGCTACTATCACAAAGATTTCTATCGGTTCCTATGTTGGAACCACTACTGTTTACTGATATGATGGCCATCAACTGACTGCTCGGTCTATAAGACCTATTGTACTGTTTTACTATTGGATGTACCACATACGACTATTTATAGTTTCTGAATGACAGTTGGCATGAAATATGAGCCATAAACTGAATGATTGATATACTGTTTAATTGACTGTTTTCAATACTGAAAGGACATTCATTCTTAACCTCTTCACACATATGTTATTCACTGGGCTTTAGCTCACTGCTCATATATATATGTAGGTGTTCAGGCACCGGACCGTTACTAGGGACGTCAGGCAGGCTCTTGTTTTGTCAGCCAACCATTGTGCCTCACTGCGAGGTTCCAAGTGTGATCAAGCTTAGGCTGCTTTTGGGGTGTCTTAGTTTCACGCAACTGTCACTGTTCTGTAATACTGTATAGACTGAATGTTTTTGAACTGTACTGTTTACATAGGGATTAAGTCCCTGTCCTGAAAGATTGTAAATATTGTGCATACTGTTTGGTACTGACTGTATACATGTATGAAAAGTCTTTTGCATACAGACTGTCACAGCTCATTGGACAACTTTAATTACTGTATTGGCTTTCGCCAGCCCATGTACTCTGTATTACTATTCTACTGTTAAGCAGGCCTTCGGTAATCTCGGATTACTGGCCAGTTACAGTGCTAAACCCATAGGGACAGATTTGGGTCGTGACAAAAATTCTGGAACACCAAAATAAATAGAGGTTGAATTTTCTCTGGTCCAAAGAAATTCTTTGGGTTGAACTGAATTTTCTCTGGGTTGGTCCAAAGAAATTCTCTGAGTTGGACTAAATTTTCTTTAGTTTGAACTGAATTTTCTCTGAGTTGGTCCAGAGAAATTCTCTGGTTTGAACTGAATTTTTTCTGGGTTGGTCTAGAGAAATTCTCTAGATTGGATTGAATTTTTTCTAGTTTGAACTGAATTTTCTCTGGGTTGGTCCAGAGAAATTCTCTATTTTGGATTGAAATTTCTCTGTGAATATGCATCCAAATCACTGAAGCTATCAAACTACAGACAACACAAGTGAATTTCTCTAGTTGAAGGGGATTTTCTCTGGGGTTGAGTAAATTTTTCTGGGGTAGAGAGGAAAATTTCTCTGGGTTGAATCCAGAGAAATTCTCTGGTGAGATTTTCTCTGGGATTTGTCTAGAAAAATTCTTTGGATCGAATTTTCTCTGGATCGATATTGAGGAACCTTAGACATTATGAAAATATTGAGTGTCCTTTATGCTATAAAATCTTAATAGCAGGGACCTTAAAAAAAAATTCCCAATGTTAATTGCATTGCAAATAACTAATCAATCATTAGATTAATTAATAGTTTTTAATGATGTTAATAATATATTTTAATTAATAATTTTAGTAATTTCATTCTTGTATAGGAGTATAATTAGGATTTTTTTTTTTTTTTCTATCAACTTTGTTAAATGATAAATTCTGACAAAAAAATTTTTGTAATTTTTAAAATTACAGGTATATAATGTGTATTTTAAAAGTCATGAAATATGTATTAACAATAACTAAGCTTTACATATTTTAAAGGTATTAAAAGTCATGAAATATGTATGGTTTTTGATGAAAGAGAAGAGTGTGTAAAATATATAAAAGATGGGGCAATTTGATCATGGATTAATTACATTAAGACTAATCAATTATTAGTAAATATTACTTTCACACCGTCATATATAAATACGTAATATTGATCCCATTATTTATGAAAATCATGTAAATATATTATTTTTAGAAGTTGCCTAAGTGAAAGTGTTTTTTTTTTTTTTTTAATAATCAATGGGGGATAGATGAGAAGGCAAAATGGTATAGCAAAATGGTTTCCCATCTCAACAGGAGTGTGATGTTGAGTCTGTGTGGGCCTATCACAAAGCTCACATCAATAATCTGAACTGTTAATACAAAAGGCTCGTCGAGTATTTTATTTTTGTAAAAAATTACGTTGATCAGATATTAATAGTCACTTGATTAGATCACATTTATGTCAATAATTTATTTTTTAATCATAGTTACCTTTAACACAAATGTGAATTGATCAATTGGTTATCGATATCCAATCAATGCGATTTCTTGTAAGGATGAATTATTCGATAAACTCTATACGTTAAACAGTTCAGATCATCAATGTGAATTTCGTGTCACTCAACTCTGATTTCAAACTAAAGAGAAGCTTAAGCAATTCGTTAATAGTTGATGAGATATTAGTGTAATTAACCTTTGGTTATTTCACTATTTTCATTGATATTAGGCTGTATGCCACATAAAATATGTAATTGTACGCTTTTATAATTCAAGAAATCAAGTAATACTCATAATAATTCAAGAAAGATAAAATCATACTTCATGATAGGTTTTGGGAATAAAATGATAGGATGCATGACGTTTTAGTAATTAAATATGTACCGGTAATGCTGTTAAAATATTTTATGATATTAGTTTAGTTCAAAAATCTCAAAGTGATACTTGACTAGCCATTGATTTTTACCGATCTCAAAAACAATAATAATACTTGATAATAATTTTGAGTGCTTCATAGTAGGGTAGATGCGGATCAATTACAGTTATGAAATTTTTAATTTGTCATTCATTTGTCAAATTAGCGGGTTAGAAAAAATCAATTTGCATCCGTCCGTCAATCTAACAGATGTAGATTGAGCGGATTGAGCGAATGGATACGAATCGGTTTAGCGATTTCAAATTTTATAAATTTTTAACATAATTAAACTTGTGCACTTCCTGAAAAAAAATAAAATAATAAATAAATATTACAGTCAGTGACTTAAAAATGTATTACAATCAGTGCATGTCTCATCCAAAGAAAGAAAGTTTGAAATTTTAGAATATTACAATCAATGCATGCCTCATATACATATTACAATCATTACATACTTCATCCATATCAAGTATTACAATATGTTGTTCTTAAAATATAAAAACAATTCAAACTACCAAAATCATGAACAGTGGTGTAGTAGAGATTGGATACCTTTGCATTGTTACATCTATATCTGTTTTTAAAAACAAAAACAAACCTGCATATATCATCTTTTTTATTTATTATTTTTAGAGTTAGATTTAAAAATTAAAAAATATAGATAAATAATACATTTATTTTTTTCATTCAAAAAATATATTCAAGTTGAAAACTCTTTTTCAGCAGAATATTTAAACTCTTTTTCAATTGAAAACACAAACAAAATATCTAAACAAATTGAAAATACAAAGTCTTACAAATTACTATGAGTGCTCGCGGTTTGGCAGTTCGGTTGCGGCCAAATGAACCTCAAATCTGTCATCCGTCCAAAACTAGGCAGATTGAAAAAAATCAATCTGCAACCGTCCGCTCGTCATCATGCATCCATACAAAATGCGACAGATCGATTTGATTTGGTCAGTTTAGACAAATCGATATATCAGCTGCTCACCCCTACTTCCTAATAAATATCTATTTTTTTTATAAAAAAAAAAACAATAAATAAATAAAGTTATGATTATCATATACACACCAAAAATTAAAAATTTATATAATCGAAATGAGCCCTTAATAGGATATCTAGGTTTAAAAAATCTCATTTAAAAAATATTTTTTTGACTTTTTAAATTTTTTATAAAAGAAAAAATGAAATGATTATGAATTGTATGTGATATTTTATCTTATTAAATTAAAAAAATTATTTTATTTCTTTTAGACTATTTTAACAAAAAAATCTCAAACCTCTACTTCGACAGTGTTTGGGAAGGAAATTTTTTAATTTTTTAATTTTTTAATTTTTTTACTAAAAGACAAATTAGTTACAAAATTAAAAAAACAAATCAAAATAAAATATCATATCAAATCCCATAATCATTTCATTTTTTCTCTTACAAACATTACATCCAATAAAAAAAAAACATAGCTATCTTCCCAAACACAAAAAAAAAAATTTCTCCAATAACACCCTACAACTTAAAAAACTTACAATGAAAATAAAAAATAAAAATTACTTTCCAAACACCCACTTCAACTTCCCAAACGAGTTCTAGATTTCACAACCTCACAAATTTTTACAAATTTAAATTTAAACTTAAAACGTTATAGAAACTCTACCTACCATAAAATAAAATAATGTAAAAATCTATGACATAAGAATTTAAAGACATGAGATGATATCCCGTAACAGAAAATGCTGTGCAACGGAAGATTCGTGGATTGCTTCATTACTTCGAATTTATTTTTTTAAAAAAATACACGGTTCTTTTGTTCACCCACACCCACATTAAAAATTTAAACCCACTCCTCCCTGCGGGCATATCTGATGACATGGCGTCTCAGCCACAGCTGATACATGACCATGTGAAACGCATCGAACGGCTGAGGCGAGTCATTCCACACGAAATGCTGAGCCGCCGTCACACCCAAACCCCTCATCCGGTCGTACCGTTCACCCCCGATTCCACCCAACAACCCCTTCAGCTCCCCAATCCCACCTCCTGATGTCCCCACAAACACCGCAATCTCCGACCATTTCAACACGTCCATCAACGGCAGGTCCTGAATCGGACGGTCAGAAATCAGCACCGGCACACACCCAAGCCTCAACGCCTCACCCAGCCAGGACACATCACCACCAGTACCATACAGGAACAAACAAAACTTACTACTCGCAATTATCTCTCCCAAATCAAACTCACTAGCATCATCATCAACATCAACTATCAGAAACTCAGGGTCACCCTCCAATTCCTTGATAAAACTGGACTGCCCTAACTTCTTCGTAAAACCCAGAAACGTGGGGCTGGAAGTTTTGTTGTTGAGAGGCTCGCGAGGGTGGTTTGACGTGGTCAGGGGAGGTAGGGTTATGTCCTTGTGAGGTATAAAGTTACCGGGAGTAGCAGGGAAACAGGAGATCTGAACGGCGTTTTTCTTAAGCTCAAGGATGTTACGGTCCGAGGCGAAGCCGATGCCGCCGCGAGAGAGGTAGAAGTGATCGGCGCCGAGTGAGCGATTCCAGAAGGGTGAGTTAACTCTGAGGTCTCTCACGAGTCGAGAGATCTTGCGGGGTGAGAGGTCGGGGGGGAAGGGGATAAAGAAGAGATTAGCTTCGTTAGGGTTTTGGGTGAAGAATGGGTTGCTGCTGATGTTGAGGAGATGTGTGTAGAACAGAGACTCCGATGGTGTGGTGAAGGCAAAGGAAATCGGTGGGGTGTACATGTAAATTCTGAAATTGTCGATCATTTTTTGATAATCTGGGAAGAATACTGTTGAGGGAGAGAGGTATGGTGAAGTGGGGAGGGATTTGGGTTGAACATAAGTGGAAGTCAAGAAGAGATAGAGCAAGAGGAGGAGAGAGAGATGATTGGTAGCCATTGAGGGCTGTGGAGAAGAAGTAGTAGGGGTTTCGTTTTGGTTAGATATGAAATGATTTGATTTGAAGATGGGCCCGCCTGGGTTAAATGGGTTAAAGAGTGGAGGCGACGGCTGAGGGCGGCTATCAAATCGTCGATTGGTTGTTTTGTGTTGAAGTCAAGGGAGCCCCCCTAAGCCCCTTGTTGCGTTTGAGCTTGGACAAAGAGCTCTCTGATGCAAGATGGTTTCGAGGAATGCCAGCACCACGCGCTGTTCCACAACGCTGTACCTTACCCTCCAGTTGACTTGTGTTTCTAGATTGCACTTTTCTCAAAATTTCAGGTTTAGGAGCATTTATAACGGTTCAGTAAATTTTTTACTGAATTTAAGTAAAAAATATTAATTTTTTTCAATTTGATATGAGTAATTCTAATGATTACATTGTAATGTGCAGCAAAAGTGAAGGAGACATTCGGTGGGTCGATCGGGTAGGCATCTCAATTTTTTTTTCCCTCCCTTTCGATTTCCAATTCGTTTATTATTTCTTTTTCTCTCCATTACATATTTTTTATTTTTTGTCGCCTCCAATAATGATTTCCTTCCAAAACCTGATATAAACACATTATGCATGTGCTATATACCAGACAAGTGATACGATTATATTTGAAAGACATAGAACTAAAAGAAAGCAAAGCATAATGAGTATTTTAAATTCCATGATGTTTATTTCATTTTCATCATCTTCTTCTTCCTTATCCTCTGATGATGAGTCTGATGATGAATATATAGTCACACTTTTGGGGGCTTATAAGATGAATAATGCTAGTATGAATCAGATTCTGCAAATCAACTGATAGATCAAAGAAAAGAGGTGGTTCTGTTGTAGGTCATAAGTATATATGTCGCGATAGAAGGAAGGGTCATGAGCGATTGTTTGCGTATTATTTTGCGGCAAATCCAGTTTATTCACCTATAATATTTCGGAGACATTTTCGAATGCTATATCTACGAATTTTGAATGCCATCGAAACACACAATCCATATTTTGTTCAAAAACAAGATACAACTCATATTCTTGCATTGTCTCTCCTACAGAAGATGACTTCAGCTATGAGAATATTGTCATATGGAGTGGCAGCAGATGCAATTAATGATTATATACGTATTGGGGAAAGCACTGCAATTCAAAGTTTGCAACACTTTTGTAATTCAGTAATTGAAATCTTCGGACCAAAATATCTGAGATCTTCAACACCAACTGATATTGCTAGATTATTTGCTATTGGGGAGGTTCGGAGGTTTCTAGGTATGTTAGGAAGTTTAGATTGTATGCATTGGGAGTGGAAAAATTGTCCAAAGGCATGGCAAGGTCAATACGTAGGCCATTAAAAAAAGTTAACCATCATTTTTGAAGTAGTAGTTTCTTATGACTCTAGGATTTGGCATGCATTTTTTAGAATGCCTGGATCACACAATGACTTGAATGTGTTGGATCGATCGCCCTTGTTTTCTAATCTTGCTCAAGGTAAAGGTTCCCCTGTTCATTACACTATTAATGGACACAGTTATAATATGGGTTATTACCTTGCTGATGGACTATACCCTCAATGAGCAATACTGGTTCAAACAATCTCTTCTCTCCAAGAAGCAAAGAAATAACATTTTGCAATGATGCAAGAGTCCGCAAGGAAGGATATAGAGCGGGCATTCGGAGTGCTTCAATCTTCATTTGCATCTATAGATGGTGCTGTACGTTTTTGGGATCCGAAAATGCTTGGGAACATAATGAAGAGTTGCGTTATATTACATAATATGATTATCAAAGATGAGAGAGAGGAGCAACTTGATTTCGATTATGAACTCCAGCAACCAACACACTAGTACAACTTTCCTTTACTCCTAACAATGACTTCCAATCATTTATGTCTCGTCATTTAGGTATTAGAGATAAATATGCATATCTTGCCTTCCGTTATGATTTAATAGAACATATATAGCATCTTCATAGTGAAAACTAAATTCACCACGTCGACGCGAACATATAATTTTGCTTATATTTTTTGAATGGAAGGTTGTCAGCTATTGTTTGTAGTTAGTACTCTTTATAATTTTGTCAATATTAACCAAGTACTTAAGAAGTTCTGTTCTGATGTTTTGTTCTGATAATCCAATCTATAAATTTGACAATTGATAAATGTTCAATTCATAATTTATTGATGTTGTCTTCTTATATATATCCACATATATTAAATTACCAAAGAATTACAGTTTTTAATAACCATGTCTTAATCAGCTACATAATAATGGGAAAAGGCTTATTGATGTTGAAAGTCTTATATTTAAATATTCATTCATAAATTTGGAAATTCATTTATTCATTACATCATGAATATTCAACACCTCATTAATTTGACAAATCAATGAGGTTGTACAATACAAATTTAATAACTCAATTTGTTTGGAGATGTGGCATACGAGCCTCATTTGATGAGTCGATGCCTCATGACACACCATCCAACTAATTCATTAAACCAATTACCAACCACATTAATTCCCTCCACTACCTACCTCATTTATTAACCCTCTATATCAGCTTAACATTGTGGATGAAACAGATATACAAATTTTGCTCCACAAACCCCAACCTAAAGCAGCAACTAAAGATTGGCATCACCAAATTCTATTCCCCAAACACTACATATTCACTCTATACAAACTCTATATTGGAAGTGTGAATCGACAGAATCAGCAAGCCAAAGCAACTGAAGCAACAAGCCCAACAGCAACAGAAACAACAAGCCAACAGCAGGAAATTTCGCGAGTGTTCAACATGGGTCAACCGATTAGTCAACGGGCCCTGCAATTTTATTTTTTTATTTTTTTCTTTCAATGTGCACTTCCTTGCACTTCACACCAAAAAAAAGACTTCTAGCAGAAAGATGAAGAGTATAACACCATGTTATTTGATTTTAATAAAGTTTACGGTTTGTTTAATCTTTTGGTGTTTTAATTGTTGAAGAATGTATGAAGGATAATTTAAGTTGGAAGTTTGACCTTGTTCTGATAAAGTTCTGCACCCATATTTTCCAAGTAGTTTTTAAAAGAACATAGAGCTACATTAATGTGGTATTATAGCTTAGGATGAATCAAACTATTTTCCAAGTAGTTCTGATAAATTTATGCACCCATATTTCCAAGTATTTTTGTAGTCAAGTTTTTCTTGCTTCACATAAAAAAACCTGATTTCCTTGTTGTCTTGCATTTTAAAAGAAACGTGTATGTGTTGTTTGGCATCACCAAATGTCAGCTCCTCACATTGAATGTCAACTCTAATTCACCTTTGATATTTAACACATTTCCATTTTAATTTGAGCTCCTGTGTAATTCACCATTGATATTTAATACATTTCTATTAAAATTGAACAGATATTCACATCATGCCTAGAACTAAAAGAGCCAGACCAGAACATGGTGAAAGCTCCAACCCTCCATGACACTAACAACAACAACCTCAAAATCAGGCTTATCTTATTTCTGATTTTCTCAGTGAAAGTCATGAACAAGCCTTTGAAAGCTTCTCCGGGCGACTTATTGTAACAGGAATGAGGGTAAATCTGCCATCTCAATATGATGCACTATTAGTTAGCAAACTTGATGCAATGCGGTGGGTAAATTTAATTAATTTACCACAAAAGATATATCCATGGCTAGTGTCTTTATTTTATGTTCACCTAAGAGGTACTAACGAAGAAGATGAAAATTTTACTCTTTTGTCTTATGTGAAAGAAAAGAGTATTCAGTTTGATATCTCTACTTTGGCAGGAATTATTGGAGTTGAGGAAGGGGATATGCATATCCATTTTCAGAGTGAGGCTGACCTAGTTAATATTGTTGGTAATACCAGTGACGTATATACTACTATTTGTGAGAACAGATTTAGCGAGACTAATCTACAAGTAAAACATTTGAAACCCTATCTTTGGATTCTCCACCGGTAGATTGTAGAAAATGTCATTCCGAAAAGAGGACATTTTGATGATGTCCCATATTTTAATGCTTATTTGTTATACTGTTTTGAATTTGGCTATAAAATAGATTTGTGCTACATAATAATGAAAGAAATGATATATGCAAATCTTGGTCAATTCATGGGGCAGTCATTATTTTTTGGGGTACTCCTGACTAAAATTTCAAACATTTTAGGGTTCGCCTTGTAGATAAAACAGAGACCAAAATCTCTTCAGCCATTTCGGAGTATACACTGACCTGTGCTAGTGGAGCTGACAATTTAATGGGAAGTCTTAATGCATATAACCCACCAGATGATGTCCCACCAGATGATGCTCCAGAAGATCCTCATGCCAATGCGATGCCATCAACTGAACAACCTCAATATTGGATTGAGTTTTTTGCCATGGAAGAAGAACGATATAATTAGCGCGTTCCATGGGAACATCAAATGGCTAATCAGGTCAGTTCGTTGGGTACTCAATTCGATGCATTTGCTACTACGCAGAACTCATTAATTCAACAATTTGGTAAGTTCCGTTTGGACATTGAAAAACGAAATGAAGTGGCAAGCAATCGCATAGATAGGATTGAGCATCGCGTAAATGACATATACCACCACTACTTCCCTCAACCACCACCAGAGAATGACTGTTGATGTGTTTTGATTACAGCTTGGATGACACCATTTTAATTTGTTTGTTTTTAGAATGTACTTTTACATTATGTATTTTCATTATTTTCTATTTTGTTAACAACCTTTTGTTATTTTGTTGGGTCAATTTGTTTTATAAATGTAGTGGTTTTGTCTTGTATAATATAGTAGCTTCCTCTATCATATTATCCGATATTAAATCCCCTGTTAGTTTTTCACTTCCATTGCCAATCAAAACATCTACACCATCTTTTGGAGCTTCAGGGATTCCACTGCTCCTTTTCTCTTTGATAATTTTATTTACTAAATCAACCATTTTCTTCTTTGCCTGAAAAACAAAATCCCAAGTGCAAACCAT